TCGGATTTTGCCTTCCCGGAGGACAAAGAACCTACCTCAAGGGGAGACAAAGGTTCTCTTAGGAGTCCAGTCTCCGCGGAGCTCTGCCCTGAGCCTGGGGCAGATGCCCTGGTCTTTGATTCTCTTGGGTCCCTGCATCTCTGAATTCTACCAAACAAGACTCCTGTGGGGAGGGCACTGGTTGTCCCCTGGTTGGTACCAGTATGCCTGGATTCTAGTCCAATTTAGAAATCTAACACTTTTGAGAGGCCAATAAATTGATTCAAGTTTCCCAGCCTCTAAGTATTCTCTTCTGGCTGCACAGACTTTGCCCGCCCAAGACATCAGATTACACAGACGACTTAGCAATTCACCTTTTTGATTCTGTTCTCTCTTTACTTCTATGGAGATGACCCCACAAAGAGCCTGGAAATATCTGGATAGACGGCGCTTTCGTCATGCATTCAAATTGCCAGTCTCAAGAAGACCTACAATGTCAAAAGGACCTGAGGGGCTGGGGATTTAGCTCAGTGGTTCTGCCATCTGCCTTGCAAGCACAGGGACCCGAGTTCAATCCCCAGTACAAAAGAAAAAAAAAAAAAAAAGTTATTTACCAGTCTATAATCTCAAAACAAAAAACAACCAAAAAACCAAAAAAAAAAAAAAAAAAAACCCTCGGAAAACCATCCCATGCTTGGGCAGACCAAAGGTCAAGAAAATCTTAAGCGTCCCTAGAAGCAGACAACTCTCAAAGGGGTAAGGGTGGCATCTATTGCTGGTTTTCAATGGAAACTCTGAGGAGCAGTCAAGGAAACTGCATGAGAAATTTGCTCTCAAAGTGGAATTCGATACCTACAGAAAATTCCCTTTAAAGAAGCGATGAAATAAAGATATCTTCTAACAGACAGCAAACAAGACAGCTTGTCACCACCAGACAGACCCACATATGTAAGCAAGCAATGGCACTATTCATTGAGGAGTCTCTGAAAGAATGATCAAACGGAACTGACACCGGGAGTCCTTTTTTGTGTGTGTTATGGATTCAAGTGTTCCATTCCAGGTTGAATATGTCAATGGAAGCAGGGTCTTTAAGGATGTAACTGAGGTTAAATGAGGTCCCTAGGGTGGTCCGCCATCTATGAATTCTTAAGTTTATTAAGACACGGTATACATGCCTGTTCTTTCCTAAAGTGGATTTTGTTAAGTAACTTGCAGAATTCACAAATCCTCCACGTCTTTGGCAAAGTATCTAAATAAGGAGTGAATAAGGAGCTGTGGATTTAGCTCAGTGGTCCCGCTGCCTGCCTTGCAAGCTCAAGGTCCCGAATTCAATCCCTGGTATCAATCAATCAATAAGAAGTGAACAGATATAACTGTAGGGTTCCCAAGGTTTTATGCTTGATAAATGATGTTGGAGGATATTAGGATTCTCTGGATATGGCATGCTTTTTTCTAAGTTTTGCTCTCTGGAGAAGTACACGATTAACATGATGGTAAATGTTTGAAAACACACCCATGAAAAAGTATTCACTTCATAAAGTTGTGTAGAATCCCAAGTAAGAGTTTGGGAGTTACAGACATTCATAGTTCAGAAAGGCAATGCTTTCATGTCCAGGTGATAGTTTTACAGCTTCAAGGCAATGTGCCGTCATGTTATTGAGAAACACAGAAAGGAGGAAATGACTTAAATCCCTGAAAACAACTTGGGTCCAAAGATGCAGAAAAACCTAGTTAATTTGAGGGACTCGCATCAGGTCGGGAAGCCCAGTGATAACTCTTTGAATGTCTAGATTTTCATTTGCATTTCGTCCGTGAAAGCATGGTGCTGACCCAGGGCCTGAAAAGTCACGGGAGCCAGCCAGCTATCTTAGGCTGCTGCTGCGGCTGGTGTAATGACTTTCAGACTGGGTGATTTAAATGTAACAAATCGGGAGGGTGGGAAGCCCAAGGTCTAGGAACAAGCAGGTTGTGTCTGGTGTGGCCTGAGGTCTGTTTGCAAATGGCATCATGAACGCTGGGATGGAAAGAGGGTGGAAAAGGGACCATGCAAGCTCCCGTTGGTCCAGTCACAGGGCACAGACACTGAGGAGAATGGACCCCTGGACATGCGATTGCTTCCCAAAGGCCACGACGCAGGTGTGCTGGTTAGTTTCTCTCCCTGCTGAGACAAAATACCGGACAGCCAATGTTAAAGTGGAAAGGGTTTATTTGGCTGACAGTTCGTAGAGGTTTCACTCCATAATCGGCCAGCTCCAAGGCAGAGTGGCACACATGGCAGGTGGCAACAGTTCACCGTGGTGGAAGGCAGCAAAAGCAACAAGAGACCTTAACAGCATCTTTCCACCCCTTTTACCCATCCAGACTACTGGGATTAGGGCGGTGCCAAAACCATCACTCAGGTTTCAGGGTTTTGTAACCACACACCCTTAATCCCAGCATCACACCTTCCTGCATTCAGCCACCTTGGAACAAGACTGCACCAGGCTCTGGCGGGGCATCTAGACAAGCTGCGTTTGGGAAGGGACACATCTGAGCCACAGCAACTTCTCCTTGTTGCTCTTGGGCCCATGCAGAGACAGTGTATCGGGGTGGAGAGCACGGAGCGGAACAAAACCACTCAGATCCCGGAGGCCAGGAAGTAAAGGGAGGAGGGGCAGCTGAGGCCCCCATGGCTCCACCGAGGCCACACCCCCCAGTATGTAACTTTCTCCTACTAGGACCCCCTCTCTGAGGCTCTACCACCTTCCAAAAGTGCCACGGGCTGGGGACCAAGCCTTCCACTCTGCTTTGGGGGATATCGCAGACTCAAACGAAAGTAGCCTTTCCCACAGGAGATGCTTTCCGAGACCCAGCAGATGCCCGCAAGTGTGGACAGTACTGAATGCTGTGCAGAATGTCTGCGTGCCATGTTTTTCCTCTATACATACCTACGATAAAGCTTGGCTTATACATTAGACAGAGCGGGGCATTCCTTCACAATAGCTGATATTACAGTGTAAAACAATTCTAACAAAGCACTGTAAGGGTAATTAACAGTAAGGAATTCTTTTATTGCTGGGATGGTCTAATATTTTTGGAGTGTGGTTGACTTGGGAAACAGACAATGGGAAGAGCAGACGGCAGGGACTATGCTTTCAACCCCGCTCCCTCCAGGACACCTGCTCTTCTCTTTACAGAGATCACAGCTCTGGATCAGCGGAGAGAGAGTCAGGCCCCAGAACCACCACAGAAGCCCGGGTAGGTTTAGATGCACTGGGTGGAGAAGCCGAGGGCCGAGCTCAGCACAGGACAGTGCTCAGCAGCAGTTCTTACAGACAGGCGAATCCACAGAGAAGCTGTTACGATGCACATTTGCTTTGGAATCTGAGACATGATTCAAAACAAGCCACCTTCAGCATCAAAGTCCCATTTGCATTCATGAGGCAAGAACCTGGGTACCTAGCTGTTCCCATTTCTCAGCGAGCAGTCTTCCCTGCGTGACAGATGTCCACATCTGTTTCTTTCACAGAAATCCCCCACCTCCAACGGAGGGCTAACCCAGTGGATGAAAGCTCTAAAACATAGTCATGAGTTCTTACGAGGGCTGAGCGTGTTACACTTAATTGGGGCGAAGAGCACAGCCTGCCGAACTGCTCATCCGTGCGTCCGTAAAGGAGCACACTGGAAGTGAGTGAAGAAAGCACGGCAATTACTCTTTGGGCGACCTAGGCATGAGTCATTTTGGTGTCAGTCTTCCATTTCCTAACAGTATGAAACCCAGGCATTACTCCATAGAATAAAATAAGAGTGTACAGAAACAAGGAGGCAGATGTGCAAAGAATAGAGCATTGGCCAATCATCAGGATTTTCCCTCCGTACAAAAATAAAAGGATGTGGCTGTAGCTTTGGTTGAAACAACAAACTAGAGATAAAATTGACCATACAGGAAAACGTACCCAGATGTAGACGTATTATGTACTGAAATACGCATCAAGCCTTTTCATCTTATTCGTGCAAAATGGTTAATGATTACAAGACAGTGTCCAAATACAAATAGTCTGGAAGGAAGAGTTACCAATGCAAACAAGTGCCCGCTGCAGTCAGTCTTGATGTTGTACCCAAGGACTCTATGGCTCACTTACGGTACACAAATACCGTCCTACACTGTGCGAACTGCTGCGGTAGAGAGAGAACGCCAACTGGACACAAGTACGTTTTGCCTTACTTAGGGGGAGTTTTTTAAAAAGGTAAAATCATGACTTCTACAGAAACATTACACGGATGTGTGCAAAAGACTATCCAACTAAATTAACTTGTGAGAGAACCGTGAAGACGTTACAGACGTTTCGGAGGGGAAGTCAAAGAACGGACAGGAACACGGGCGATCGGGAATGCTGAAGTGAACGCAGCAGCCTGGGGCACAATGACGGACAGGTGAGCTCAGACTCACTCCACCAGATGAACGTGGATGCCTCCACTTCTGCTACAACTTCCAGAGCTGGAGAAAACAACCATACGTGGCAGCGTCACCCGGGATGGTTCCGAAAGGCACAACGAAGTAGTTTTCCTTGTTCACCCCTTTAAAGACTTCTGTAATTACTGACAAATGTCAGCCAGATCGCCAAGGCAGACTAAATCTACAGGAGGAGCTGATCGTAAGGATGTGATGGTTGACTGCGCCAAAAGGAGATTGTGGCTCTCTGTTCAGGTGGCGATTTGAAAAAAAAAAGGTGGGGAGAAAAGTCAGCATTGTTAAACGAGACAGATGACGTCTGCGGAGGTAGAAGACACTGTCCAACGTGGATGGGGACGTACATGCGAGACATAGGCCGCATACGTGTTCAGAGTACAACTGACGGTACGCAGCTCAAGGGGAGCCACTGAGGAAAGGTCCAAGAGATACCTTGGGGGCACAGAAATTATTCTAAGGCTGGCGAGTTTGGAGAAATGCTTCTTTAGGTTCATCCGTGTCAAGGTTTTCCACACTCAGGTTACCAAGTCAAGAGGTCACCTTCTCGGCTGCAAGCTGCGGTCCAGGCTGAAGACAGCACAGTGTACTATATACATGTCCAGGTCCTGACATACAGGATCACTGAGGTGAAACAGAAACGAAGGTAAGTGTAGAGTCACACCGTCTCGGAGAAAGAAGTATATCCGTACGTGTACAGCCTGGCACCCACTCACACAGCTCCCACACGCCCGTCACGCTGGGCACATTCCGCTGCACCCGCTGCGCTCCCTCAGCAGTGTGGGTCACGGATGCGGCCAGAGCAGCACACAGGGGCCTGGCCCTCACTCGTAGGCGGGCAGGCCAAACAGCTCGGGCTGCAGATCCTGCAGGGAACTCAGCACGACGGTGGCCTTGGTCGTCAAGTCTCGGCTCAGGTTTTCGTCGGGAACCATGACCACCTGCATCCCGGCTGTCAGGGCGGCCTCCACCCCATTGGGGGCATCTTCGAAGACGAGGCACTGCGGGAAGAAAAACAAAGTCGAGATGGCCTTGTGCGCAACCAGCCTCCTAGAGGAAGGGTCTGCTATGGTTTGGATCTCGAATGCCCCCGAAATAGTGAGCAGTTTGACGGTCCATCCTCCATGCTGCAGTGTTCAGAGGTGGAACTCTTGGAAGATGTCTTGGTTACTTTCTCACCCTGAGATATAACACTGGACATTGCAAATTAAGGGAGGAAAGGAAAGGTTTATTTTGACTCACAGTCTGCAGGTTTCAGCCCATAGCCAGGTGGCTCCAAGGCCTGGCAGAAGAGAAATAGCTCACGGCACGGCAAGGAGGCAGGAAACAGACAGAGAGATGAAGGGGGAAGGAAGCAGAGACTCTTCCAGGGCAGCCCCAGGGCCACAGCACCTCCAGAAGCCCCAGCTAGGAGCAAGTGAGGCTTTGAGGGGACAACTAGAGAAAAACCATCACTACAGATGATTACTGGATCATGAAGGCTCTGACCTCATCAGTGGAAGAATCTATGGATGAGCTCATAGATGAACGGACTAGAGGAGAGTGAAGGAAACGGGGAGTGGAACCTAGATGAAGGCAGTGGGTGGTCCCCAGGGTCTGACGCCACCCCTGGCCCTGCTTCCCGGCTGCCTTTCCACCGTGACGTCTGATGTAACACCAGCCCGCAAGCAATGGAGCCAGCCGACCATGGACTAAAACTCTGGAAAACATGAGCCTAAACGCAGCTCTCCTCCTTTACGCTGACCTTCTCAGATACAGCATTTTGTCGCAGTGATGGAACTCTGTCTAACACGGAATATTTATGGTTGTGGTCACCATGGGCTTTGGGATTACCGAAACAGGACAGTGTAGGCTTTCTGGTCGACCCACTGTGGGGAGAACCTCGTGCTGGTTCTGATCCGCTCTTCCCACCATGGTTTCTCTAGTGGAGAGTTAACTCCTGTCCCTGCCCAAACATAATCGCAACACAGCACAGTTGTGCATCAAGTCGGTATTTTTGGTTTAAAACTTTATTTCATTTGGATCACAACAGTCTGTTCCATCAATAACTGAACATTCAGAGTGTGAGAGGAAATTGTAAAACAAAATGCTCGTGCTTGTGAAATGGGAAAACACTTCAGAGCTGTTCACACTGTACGCGCTGTAGTCAGAAAATAAAATGGTTTGGTGTCGTACCGAAGAAGTGAGACCCTGTGTGCTGGTGTGGTTCTGTTCAAATGAAACGAGACGGGACTCACGAGCCCAAGGGTCGGGGAAGGCGCGAGCGAGCGCCCTCTAGGCAGGCCGTGAAGGCCCTTTGACACGGGGAACTCAGCCTGCTGCCGCGGGCTCTGCGCTCGCACACTGTAGGGCTGCTCCCCGTGCCTGCTCTGCAGCCTCCGCTTGTCCCATGTCAGGGTCACGTGGGGGTCCCCCAGACCTGCCGATGACAACGATCTCGAGGGCAGAGAGGAGCCCGGTCCGAGCCGGCGGCCCTCCTAACATCTACACCCGGCAGGCTTCCCCGGTGTTCCCGGAGCAGCGCGCACGTCAGTGGAAGCGGGTGAGGACTCAGAAGGACCCTCCATGCTGTGACTGGCCACGCGCTGGCTGTCCTGCTCCTGGGGCCGGCCGAGACTCAGGAGCTGTCCGGGCGGGGCTTCCCACTGTCCCCTCGGCTCTCTCGTGAGCCCTTTTCCACTTTGCCTTCTAACACAAACATCACTGCCAGGTACGGTGGCAGCCCAGTGTGCGGGTGCCCTGGAACGGGCCCAGGGACGTTCTCTCCTTCTCTCTCTCACACACACCTGCTGTCTTAATTGCTAACAGCCCGAGCCAGGGCTGCGGCGCAGACACTGACCTTTTTCCAATTTTCCCCTCCGCCCTCTCTTCCTTCTCTTCCCCTCACCCCCGGGCCAGGGTGCTTCCTGTGCCGATTTAGCCCTGGGGCTGACTGGATGCTGACTTACATAAGAGAATCTGGGTGTCACCAAGAGGCTCACCTCCTACACCTGGTGAGCTCGTCTGCACCCCTAACCCACCCCAGGCACTCAGGACTGATGGGGCACAGACCCCATGGCTGTTTCGTGCCAAATGGGAAAGGTGCTGGGCAGGACAGGACTGGCTCTATGTCTTTCTTCCTCTTTTTGAAAAATTTTATTTTGGCAACAATAGAGATGGAACCAGGGCCTCTGTACTGAGCTACATTTCCAGCCTGCTCTTATATTTATTGAGACAGGGTCGCCCTAAGTTGCTAAGTTTGCCAGGCTGAGCTGAACTTGCAATCCTCCCGCCTCAGCCTCCCGGAGTGCTGCGATTACAGGCGCGGCCCAGCAACCAGCTCAGCTGCCCTTCCTCCTGAGGACTCGAGAAGTCCGCAGTCCCTCTAGCAACCCAGGTCTTGCTTTTTCTCTGAGCAGAAGGAGATGACTCCACTTAGCCCACCAGGTTGGCTTTCTTAGTTAATGGATCCATGCAGTACCACCAGCTCCAGACATTTCTGTCCCAGCCTTCTTAAAGTTACGCTGATTGCTTTCTAAATGCCCGACTGTCCTCATCTGGGACCACCACAGGCCCTTAAATGTCAAGCAGCCTTGTGAAACACTTGTCACGTCCTGTGGGGCTGTGGAAGCTCCGGGCAGGCTACTCACAGATCCAGCTCATCCTGAGGGGGCTGCAGGGTGCAGGCTGGCAAAGCAGCTTCCCGTCCAACTGCACCCTGCACAGGGAGCACAGTGGGTGGAGGGCGTGCACAGCGGAACTCCGAGCTCAGGCCGCTGGACAAGGGAGGTGTGTGTGTGTTCGACACACCATGTGCACCCACAGTACGCGCTGGGCTCAGGACTCCCAGGGAAGAACACCCGCACACTTTTCACTAGCAGCCAGCTCCTTGCCACTGCTCCGGCTGGAGTCACAGGAAGTAGACAGGTAGGGATGAGGGAGCAGGGAGACAGGAGAAAGGGAGTCACCGACTCTACCTCTGGGGCTGAGTTCACTCTTGCTGGGACTTACGCATTCGGTGGGGTTCTGCTTCCAACTCAGAATCTGTCCCTTCCTCACCTCAGCAGAAGAATCCAAACAGGGCACAGGTACATGAGCCACAGGTTGAGTGCGGCTGGTCTGAAAGGTTTTCAGAGGTCCGACGTGATGCCCCAGGCAGAAAACTACTCCATGGAACGGTTTTGGGCACAAAATTACTGAAAGTACTCTGTAATCTCCTGCAGGGTCTGTGAACGAGGTGTGTGTGAAACATAAAAGAATTGTGTGTTCAGACTCGGGCCCCATCACCGAGACAACTCATTATGTGTATGCAAATATTTAAAAATATTTAAAGAAACCCTAATACTGCTCGTCCCAAGCATTTCAGGTAAGGGATATTTGAGCTGTATCGTGGGGAATGGAAAAGATGGACACGGAAGGCAAAGTGAAGTGATAGCATAAAGGACACCGAGATGTCGGGGTAGGTGGATCTTTATCACGACCACAGGGAGACCTGTGTAATTCCTACTGCACTAATCACTTCCGGTCGCTGGGACAAAATACCCAACATCCTGGCTTCGAAGAAGAGAGGCCTAGTCTGGCTCAGTTGGCAGAGATTTCGGCCCTTGGCCAGCTGATCCCAAGGCAGAAGAAGAGCACGGTGGCAGGGGGACAGCTGCTCACATATGGCACCTCCAGCCAAGCCCCACCTCCTACAGCACATTCAGCCAGGAACTCTTCCATGCATGAATCCATTGCTGAGTACAGCCCACCTGGTTGGATCACTGTTCGAAAGCCCCAACTCCAGGCATGTGAGACTTCTGGGGTACATAATAGGTCTAAACCACCATACATATGAAACAATGTTCTGTTGTTCACATGCGTAAAAAAACCTGACAGGACAGGCAGCTAGACTCTGGTTCCCCGTGTGAGCTGTGCAAGTTGCAAACTCTATGCAAGTGACCGTGGTTCCAATGCAGACACAGGCTTGGGTCACTGGCGACCCAAACCAAAGAGCACGTACTCTGATCACCTATACTGCATTCACGGCATCCAACTGCCCTGAGCTCCCACAGCCGGTTCATTGTGCAGCCAACGGAAGATGATTCTCACTGGATGAGTGGCGATCTGGCACTTCCTGTCAGCTATAGTTGGTGTCTCAACTGGACAGTCTGCTGGGCATGGCAGTGATCAAACGGTGGCAGAGAAGCTCAGCAGATCGGGGGGCAGCACAGACTGGGCAGTCCCCACGGAGCAAGCAGAGATGCTGGGCTCTGAGCCTGGGCATTGTTTCCACACCGAATGAAGACAGGACCATACACACAGCAGAAAACAGCCCACAGTCCACAAGGAGATGCATCCAGGACTGGGATCGGGCCACACAGCCCACAGGCAGGAGAGGATTACCAGTCATTCCACAGCAACTGAATGCCGCGTACTTTTCCTTTTGTTCCCCCCTCAGAAGCATGAGATTACTAACACAGAACAACCACTGTGTTTTGAAGCACCTATCAGAAATGTCCAGAAAGGTTCTGATGTCTTCATCAGGCTACGTGTCTCGATTCTAGAGACCAAATATGGTTCTGTCTAGTATACCCCTTCTATGACAAGAGTGCGTGCTGCTCCCTAAAATCCTGGGCACATTAAGAACTGTCACAGCAGGGCTGGTATGTCTCTGGTACCAAGAACAGATCCCATTAGGTTGCCCAGAAAGACTGCCTGCTAATCACAGGAACTGAAGTCACACAGTGAGAACTCAAGACGCTCCGACAACCACTGAAAGCGACAAGTCAAAATACAAGCTTGGACTTACCATAAAGGCAAGGGGAAGGAAGCTGTTCTATTCACACAAGGACACCTCCCAGCACAGTTCCTGTCAGGCACACAGACTGCCAGCCTGCAAGTCAATGGGAACCGACTTTCACCCTGGCCGTGCTGTGCCTTCAGCCGTGCTCCCGGAAGGGAGGGGAAGCAGCCAGCCTGTCCTCCCAGGCTTGAAGGGTCACCGTGACCTTAGCTGCATTCAGGCTCACACAGAGGAAGG